TTTGAAGATTAAAGGGGCAGCCTCGTGACCCTGTGCTCCGTCAGTCTTGGCCTAAAAGAACAAGAAAAGGTCGCCTCTGCACTGGCAGCACACCAAGGCAATTGAAAATGACATGCATCCTTTTAACAGGAGGTTGGAACTAATCGTACATTCAAAATATATTGTTCAGGAGGGAAAGGCTGTCTTCAGTCTGCCCCAGAGCTGTCAGAAATGTCATATGGCTGAACTTTGAATGAAAGCAATAAAAAGGAAAGGAAATATACTGTTTACGCGCCTAGAATCTCATTGCTCTGTCTTCAAGAGAAACAAAGCCTGCTGGTATTTCATCTTGCCTCAACTTGTGCTACAGGGAATAGTTCCTCTAGGCCTTTTTGTTTGTTACTATATACAGTATATTGGAGTTTTAAATTTCTGAAGGACCCCTATTGTCCATCATTTTGATCTTACTCTTGTTAGCGTCTTTAGAGAGATTAGACTCCATGTACTTGTAAGGTCGTATGTACGTGAACGGTTTCTCATGAAGTTGTAATTCTGACATTTGTGTTTGCATTTAAGCATATGTGAGTTATGTTTATAGTAGCCTTATTGCCAAAGACTAACCCTCTCTCATGAGAACATTAAGAACATTACCACATGCAGATTTACAAAGAGCAAAGGAAATATAATCCTCGAGAATAGTCTTTTTAACCTTAACATGTTTTCAAGGGAAAATCAAACATTGCTTTGTGACTTCCCATAAAAGGCTAAGTAACAAAGTATTTTAGGAAGTAAATAGAAAAGCTGTACATGACTACTTCTCACCCCCTTCCCACAATTGATCTTGTCAGTGGACTGAATTCTTTACTGCAGCATTGGTGTTTTCCATGAGCCATATTTCTCAAGATAGTAGGTGAGTGGGAAGGCTTTATGCTTTGTTAGCCAGGTACTTTCTATAAAGACTGATAAGTGGTATAAGGTAGAGCCACATCTAAATTGCTTCTGTTTCTCAACATGCAAAACCATGGATCGCAAAAATCAAATGTAAAACGCTTTGAGAAGAGGGAGCTGGAGAGTGCATGAAAGGGGATTTATTGAAGAAAAATGAACATTTGTTATTCTGTAATGAGAACCATTTCTCCAAATTATCCTGCAAGCGTCGGCAGTCTTTCTGAAGAACTGTTCTTCCTCAGGTTTGGCTGAATTCCTCCTTCTTTTTCAACCTTGACTCCAAATAATTTGCTTGCCAGTGTGAGCTCCCAACACTGTCATGGATAAGCAGCTGAAAACCGATTTCATGAATGCTTTGACGTTTGCACAAAAAACTTTTTTTACATAACTATGTAAAAGAGTAATAATGTGGTTGCTTAATTACAGAGCATATTTTACATAAACATAGTTTTTAACCTTGTTTGTGGTATCTTACAAAATAAAGTATATGGCAATGCTGTGTAAAATATAAAAAGATAGTCTGTTTGCAACTACTAGTTTTCCAGTTAAGAAAATTGCCTTGGTAATAGCATCACAATAGCGAAGCGCATAGTTTTGTTTTAACAGGTTTTTATAATAGAAATGTGCAAGGAAATCTACCCTAACATATAATCTGTGCCGGAAATGAACCCAGCATCGACCAAATGGATATCCAAATAATATCTGTGTTATATTATTGTTTGGTTATTTGAAAAAAGCAGCTTCCACTGGCTTGACTGGCATGTTAATTTGCTCTTGAATTCTGCTTTTTGATGACATTTTTAACACCACCTCAGTTTGTCTGTACGAGTTACTTAATTGATTTCATAATGTGAAATAATGTCTAGTTTTGGCCAGAGTATTTCCATGTTGACTGGAATACTGTCTGCATAGATGTTGTAAGTTCTCCCTATGTTTACATGGGTTTTCTCCAGGTGGTCCAGTTTCCTCCCACAGTCCAGACATACTGGTAGGTTAATTGGCTTCTGAGAAAACTGGCCCTGAGTATGAGTGTGTGTGTGTACCCTGGTCTTGTCTGGTACATCCTGCCTTGTGCCTGTTGTTTGCTGGAATAGGCCCTGGCTTCCCTGAGACCCTGAATTGGAAGAAGCACTTAGAAAATGGATGGATGGGTTGTAGTAAATGAATTACCAATTCGACATTTAGTGCTAACCGAAGGCAACCAATAGCACCAACCTCATCTTTAGTGGGTTCTGCTCTTTACAAGACACGAATTTGCATCTTTATTTGTTTTTCTTTGGTGTTCTTTTGCCCTTTCGCACATTCAGATACCTATTGTTGCCTTCTTACATATAAAAAAAAGCAGTGAATTTCACCAGCTTTCTTTTCATGACGTTAGAGTTGGCTTGTTGCAGAAGCAGTCAACAAGCTGAAACATGTACTGTACTACCCACAAAATTCACAGATCATGCGTAATTCAAAAACATTCCGTTTGTTTTCTTTTGCCTTTTCCAGTTCTTTTCACTGCTTGTCATAGTCCACATTTCCTCTCCAATCAATTGCCTCTTGTTTCTGTTGCTACTGTACTTTTCAGGTTTTACCAGAATGCCAAATAATACCCAGCATTGATATGTCTTGCAAAAACCTAAAGGACTTTGAAGTGCTGTTCGTTTCCATAAAACGAGCCATAAAAAGTGACATCTTGTTAAATAAACACGCAAGTCTGAGGATAAATAAAGACATCCTTTTCGTGTAGCTATTGCTGGATCCCCCGATTGTGAAACCTGAGTTGTTGTACGAGTATTTTATAATCAAAGCTGTAGCATTTCTGCAGAGGCAGAAATGCCAGGGGTGACAAAATGTCTAAAATGAATCAAAGACACAATTTACAGCTATTAGCCTGCACATAAGAATATCATGCCTTTCTCTGCCTTTATCAAGTTGGAGAAGGTGATCTGCTTTTATCCTATCCAGGGATCAGCTAAGAGTCCTTTGGATACGTTATGTCCTCCGAGGACAAGGTGAAAGCTGGGGAAGTTAAGTGCCTGAAGCATCACTACATCAAGCAGGAGTTCTGTTGTCTTAAAAAGCAGTTCTAACTTGAGTGCCGGCACAAGATATGCAGCTAGCTATCATTCATGCCTGATCTATACCAGGGTTGTTCCCCACAATGAATGCACAGTCACACTGCAGCATCTCTGGAAATTAGCTCTAACTACATAATGATGATAGGCCTCTGATGTTGAGCATTCCAGCAGACAACACTGCAGATTACTATCCTGCCATGCTGCCACCATAACAAAGGTTTATCGCTATAAATTTGCTAGGCTTTTCTGCACTCTTCCCATGGTTAAACAATGCATTCATTTTGTTTTTCTGGGCTTCAGTCACTTTGTAATATGCTTTACTTTACCCTTATATGCTTCACAATGCATTTTTCATGATCTGATTTACTCAGTTTTTACCAGGGCATACTACAGTGAAACCTTACAAGCAGTGAACCAAGCTTCACTTCGCCTTATGCTGTCCTACATAAAAGGACTAGTAACACTGGTAAAGCACTCTAGCCTTGAAATACATGTATGGCTTTGTGACCGCCGTAGTTCTGCGCGGGCTCGTGCCCTCCGCCACTCCACCCCGCCTGTTTATGAACCCAGGTCTCTGGCATAACGCAAAAGCAAACCAGCCGCATGAAATAAAGGAGACTTCCCTCAGCCTAGGCAGCTGAGGTCCCTGCTACGCGCAGGAGGGCAATGACGTCACCCTATCCGAACTGCCTCTGCTACACCTTCGCATATTAATAAAATCTTAAGAATTACTACTGTTAATCTTAACAAAGATCCTCATTGTGGTTTTAGTGCTCTTCTACTAAACTGTAAATAAGATTTAGAAATTTAGATTACTGATTTCTTGATTTCTTCCAGCTTCACATGAATTGTGTTCCATAACTTTCCACCTGTGGATTTTGGGATTGCTGTAATCCCAGCAGTCTACAGTACCAACGTGCTACTCTTATGTCCACCAATCCACACATTTCGTGAGTCATTCCCAATTATTTTGTTTAACAGAGAGAGCCAAGCACTGCAGCCTTTTGCACTATAGTTTTGTAGCCATGTTAGCACTCACCACTGATTCATGCTTTCCTCAAGTGCATGTCGGTTAGGTGGCGAGTTCTGGTGCGAGTTCTGGTGCAGAACTATGGCTTCTTGATTTGTTTGAATCTTCCAGCTCAATATCAAGACTGGCCTCAGATTGTAAGCAGAGCCCTCACCATGGTCTCTGACATTCATATCATTGCCTCCATCTGGAAAATCTAACGTACTTGACACAGCCTGACCAAATTGGGGTGGGGAGGGCACTGTCTTACATCTAGTGGAATAAAGAAGCAACACAAACATTATTTATAATAACAAAGTACCTTTGATGTAATTAAGACTGGCTATGTTATTGAAGTCTCCTTCCAAGGTAATTGTGAGAGACGCCAGAACATGAGGTCTGTCTATCCTATGCAGACTACACAATGATTGAGATGTCACCAGTGTTTAAGGAATCAGTGGTACTATAGCACCACAACAGACCTTTCAACTTGTATTTCCCTTTTAACCTTTCTGTTTCAGTTATGTTTTTTTTTTGTTTTTTAGGACATCAGAAAATTTAGTGACAGTCAAAGAACAACCAGCTCATTTATAATTGTACCCAAACTATGATCTGTCCTTGTGCATTTTTTTCATGGGTGTTTATGGTTCTCTGCATCTGCAAAATAACAGCCCAGCAAGGCAACACAGAGAAAAATATATATAGTAGGTATCCAGTGGGCAGAGAGTCTTGTTTTGGGTCCCACATCAGTGGCATGAAAGACAACGTGAAACATACTGTTTTAAATGCTATACTGTATGTATAATTCAAGGGCAAGGACAGTTGTGAACACTAACATGAAGATACTTGTTTGTGCAGAGGGTTGTGAGAGTATAGCAGAAGTTTGTTATTGAAGAAACTGCAAGATCGATTCCTTGCATCAGTGGACTACTAAATATCCAGGAGGATAGATGGTCTGCATCTCTGTTTGTAACTGTTCCTATGTTCTTGTATTCTAGGGGATAAGGGAGAGATATCCATCATCATCATGCTGAAGGAGGATCAAAACTAACTGGGACTAATTTGTAAGTACTTTGTTCCAAGTGAGATTGTTTCCCAGTGCTACTATTGAACTGTTGCTTTTATTGTCACATCAGTGTTTTATGGGTTTTTAGATTTAGTTATGATTTGCTTAGCGTTCCCCTAAATACTTTTAAGTTTTATTACTATTAGAGATTTTGGAACAAATAGAGAAATATTTTATTTGAATTCACAACATTTAGTGCCTTTTTACAGGCATGGCCTGGGGACGGGGGTTATTTATGAACATGAGGGAAGTAAAACACCAAGGTTTCCAAAGGAAAAAAAAAAAGCATTGTGAATTTGATCTTCAAGGCTTACGTTCTGCTCTGGTTCAATTAGAAGTGTAGGAACTGGTTGGAACAGAGATGTGGACTAGAGCTAAGTCTTGGTGCCAGATTTTCGCACTGCTACATTAGAGCTTCTGAGGTCTCGAAACCACGGCTGTTGAGTGAGGAATGATGGAGGGCTGTGGATTAGCAGCGTGGAGGAGTGCTGCTCCTGCATTCCTAAGCCGTGCGGCTGATTTAATGGATGAGCGTATGGCAAGGCAAATCACGGGACATATTTTCCACCATGACAGAAGCAATTCCGAGAGAAAGGCTGAGGTTTGGTGCAATTTTTTTTTTCGCTTTGCTTCCTACTGCTTCATCAAAGCTATCCCCACCATGCCATTCCCCACAGGTTTCAACTTCATCGCTCAGCGGTTGTGAAAATGGCCTTTCTTTTATTCCTTGGATGATTTATAAGCTGCATATGTATTTTATCTAACTCTGCTCCATTTTGATCTGTCATCACTCTCTCTTTCTCTGTCTCTCTCTCCCTTTCTCTCTTCCTCCTTCCCATGCCCTCCCTTCTCTCTTGTTCAAGATAAATTTAGCTGTGCTCCCCTGACAAGGCAATTAAATGAGCATTCCTCAAGGTGTTGGTAACTACAGCATGGATCTCTGATTCAACAAGCATTGCCTCTGACATGCAGCTGCAAAGGCAACAGAGCAGTCAGCAGTAGGCCTGGCTCTCTGTCAAGTCTCTCGTTGCAGGTGATGTATAAAGCTTGCCTCACGGAGCTGGCCATCTTTGATCTTTTGGTTCGATAGGTCCCACATGGAAGAGTTTGGAAATGTCTATTGCAGTTGGAGCATGTGTCCCTAGCCTACATAAGAAAGCTTGCAAACGTAAGTAAACTAAACATTTACATGCTTTGATTTCAATTCTATGCTCTTTGTATGAATACATTAAATTTAACGACTTCATTGCTTCACTGTAAATTTTACTACATGTTATGGTATTCTGAATAAATTGTTGTAATATGTTAATTTTGTAGGGATGTTATTTTTGTCTGCAGTGGATCACAAGAGTAGTAATCTAGTACCTCACCTGGCCGGTACCATTAGCCAGTACCTGTGGACAGAACACAGAAAAGGCCTGTTGGTCTTGGATGACCCCAAGTTTATATTTTTGACTCTTGTCCATGCTCCACAGTGGGTCACCTTTCCCTGTGTCTTGATCAGTCTTAGCTTCCCTGTACTCTAAATACCCCTGGCGACAAACATTACACTTTTTTGGAGAGCTCCATTTATGCTTTCAGGATACTTGGAAAATGATTTCACCTTTTCTTCCACGGCAGAATAATGACCTTTGAGATGGGTACAAGGAACAAGACTCAGGAGAAACCAAAATCTTTTTCTATTTGGTTTCGACACCATCTCCCATCTTGTCATTGTGCTGGTAAGCAGAAAGAAAAATATAGAATGTGAAGGCCTGTTACGTTAGGTAAGCGTTTACAGTTTACAAATGTGAACATACTGTATAAAAAATTCCTTTGTGGGACAAAGATTCATAGTATAAGCCATGCACGAATCACACCCAATTTATTTCAATTAGATCAGAGCAAAAAATGCCAACTAACTTTCCTGCAAAACAGATTTTAAAGTCTGATACATTGAAGAATTCCAACCAAACCCAGGACAATCACAGCCCCTGTCCACTGTCTTCCAGTCTGAGGTTTAAAGAAAGCAGAGGATCCACAAGGCTGGGAGTAGGTTCAGTGTGGTCCAGTGCTTAGATTTTTAGGTTGTGCTCACCCTGAATGATTCCTACACCCCGGAGACAGCCTGTGCTTTCCAGAAGAGACCAACTCTCCTCACACTTCCCTTCTGTGGGAGATCAGGTGCGAACAGGCAGGAAGCCATCAGAAATCATGAGGTTGCTGGCTGTTGAACAGTGTCAGGCGATAGCCCAGGGATGATGCTAAGGGACTTTTCAGGATATGTTTTAGAAGACATTTCTGGCAGCTGAGAACACAGGAACAGTGTGTTGGTGGTTTTTTATAACATGACAGACACAGCCCTCAATGGCCTCTTTATTGAAAGACCATTCCACATTTCTGTTTTCCCTTTTATCCTTGGCCACTTGCTGATATAAAGCAAATATTCATACGACACTTTATAATGCCAGACAAGTGTCCCAACTAGACTATGTCATTAAAAATATCCCGAATGGCCTTTTCCAAATATTAGAAAAAACAGATTTTGTTTCTACAGTATTTTGAATTCATATACATATATAATAGAAGCTTTAATTCCAGAAATAGAGGAACTAAACTTATGCTACTTATTTTATTTAAATTGTATATTTGGGGTAATGTTTGGAAAAGCAAATAAATAATCAAGGCATGTTTATATATTGTTTTGTAAAAATAATGAATAGTGTATTTTAGACATTAGAGTCAATATGCAGGGCATGCACATTTTGATAATGTGTCACAGTTTGAATTTAATGCACTTAATGTAGATTTAATGTAAAAACAGCAGTACATTAAAATCTATTTTAACTGTTTTTCTCACACTTTGTTGCATCAAAAATGTGTGGATTTGCATCTTTGTTGATGCATTTCTTGCATTTGCTGAAAACTTTCAATTCCATCCCATGCTCACTTTAAAATAGGTTAAAATCCTAACTTGTTAACTTTCTCTACAAGTACCCACAGTATAGTACCACAGACTAGTAATCCCTGTTAATGGTACCACAAAAATGATGCAAATAATTGATTGTATTTATCGCAAACTAATTTTTTTCATTCAGAATCAACCATATTTAGAGTCAGCCCTACCAAGAAAATGTTTTAGTTTTTCTTTGTCTTTTAGCCATCCACACAACACTATATAAAATGTGTAATGCTTTTGCTTCTTATCCTTTGAAACTGCTGTTGCTTGATTTTAACCTATCCTCTCTCCTCCCACGACTTTGTTTTGTTTCAAACTGTATATCTGCTGTGCTTCAAGCTGTATATCCAGAACACACAATTGAAACTGCATTATGTGGGACCTGGGAGGTATTACATGATCACATTACTATGGATTCCACGCTTTTAACAGGTCATGTGTAATAACAGGGCAGCACTGTATTGCCTTTGTCTTATGTTAAACTTACACAGAAGTGTGGAGTCCCAGCTCGAAAACCTTGCATGTTTGCATGTTTAGATCCCTGGCCTGTTTTCCGTTGTGGTGCGTTTGCGCCCTGTACCTGCTCTGTTGCTCTGTGCTCGTTTCCCTCTCCGTGGAGTATCATCAGCCAGGGCTGGATACCTTAGAAAAACACTTTCAAACAGTCGAAGGTTAGGTAAGCCGGTCAAAGAGCCAATGCAGCATTTTCAAACCTTTGTTTTTATCTGCTGTGAAGAGGGCCTGTGGGAGGAACACTTACACATTGCATTCAGGTCAGCTGCAGCCTGAACAAAAGCAGTTCTGTACATATGGTGATAATTTAAGAGGGAGAATGAATTACAGCCAGAGACACATGTAAAAGCCATTGATGTGATCAAAACAGATTTATTTTTAATGGCAAAGTTGCATCATTGATTAATTTAACCTCTTCTGCCGACATGGGTGCTGACCCACACCACCACGTCTCCCCCTCCTCAATATCGTATGTTAATTTCCCCTGGATAACACGATCGCAACAAATACATTATACTTTAAAAGCCATAAATCACAAGGGCTCTTGTGATTCACGTTCATGGCCTAGCGTAGAGAAGCCTAGTTCTTGCGCAGATGGGGCTCTGGGATGTGGGCGTTGTGAGTTCAAGCCTGGGTCGTGTAACTAGCCGACTGTGACTGGAATACTCAAATGGTGGCACATAATCAGGCTCTCTGGGCTCCCGGCAGAAACAGCAGCCGCTGTTCCTTTCTGGGCACCTGCAGATCCACGGCTACGTCACACGCGAGAAGGCATGTGTCCTGCATTAGACTCCCAACACCTGTGTGCTCCTGCTGACCTAGCAGCCTGTCGAAAGAGGAACAGCTGGGTGTGGGGATCGTTGCTGTGAGCCAGCACGTGAAGACGCAGTCAACGATTCCAAATGGGACAAAGCATAAAGGCAGTTGACCATTCTAGATAAAACAGAGCACAATTGCAGACGGAATGTTTCCAGAATGACAATTTGTTAAGAAGCAAAAACATTCTGCTGGGCACACGTAATGAACAAAGCAATAAATACCTGTCAAATCGGTGAACGTTCTGCCTTTAAATGTCACAAAATATAGGGCATTCCTTATTCGCACCATTCCAGTGCTGGGTAAGAATATACAGTTTATTTATATGTACAGTGTACACTGTAGGTCTCATTTTTGATTAATGTAGCAAGAGGAGTATAAACCTTTCCATCATCTATTGCAATTTATTGTGAAATGTCATGGAAGATGTGAACATATTCTAAGATGAATCCATGCAGAGAATTAAACGGCCTTAAGATCGTCTTTTAAAAGTCGTTTGTGGAAAAACCATACCTAGAAAGCAATGATTAGAATGATATACTCAGGTTCTGTTGAAACGTAAAGTCGATCTGTGTGGGATCAACCCATCACACAATCAAATGTTATTCCCAGGTCTATGGGTATTTTGACCTGTGGATAATACTCCCTATCTCTGACCTGGCATCATCACTCTGCTCTCCTCCCCAGTATAGCAGATGTATAGGGAGTGCACTGGCGCACTTGGCTGCCGGCGCATCATCCACTGGTGGTGGTGGAGAGGAGTCCCCATTACCAGTAAGGCAGTTTAATTGGAGTGTCCAGAAAAGCACTATATACTGTAAGTGTAAGGAATTAGTAGTAGAAGTAGAAGAAGTAGTATGTTATTTTGACCAAACCGTCTGAAGCTTGTTCCGTTCTCAAGCAGGTGTCCCTGTTCAAACTATTTCTGTTGGAAAGAAAATTGCTGCTGCTCACCTACTTATCTATTTAATTACTTTTGTGAAGGATGTCTGTGACCAGTTTAGTAAATAGTTCAAATAAATGTTTCATGGAATGAAAACTGCCCCTTGAGGACTGAAAACCTCTGTAGCAGTAAATATTCCTGGCATGTCCCCAGAATATTAGAAAGTTACACCCAATGCGTTTCCTATCTCCAGCCAGGAATGTATCTTAATTCCCCCATATTGCCTTCACGGTGCCTTGCAGTGTTCGAATTTGGTCCCGTAGAAGCTCACGTTTCATAGCGGTAGATAAGATCACATAGTGCTGATTCTCCATCTCGACTGATGCAGGTCAGCAGTGACCTCCCAGAGCTGATGAAATAATGCCTGAGGTCTGGGGTTCAAGTGGCTATATTTCAAAACCAGATTTAGTCATGCAATACAAGAATGGGAACTGAGGGTCAGAGGTCACACTTCCTTTCCAATTAACATTATTTATCTATTTTTCCTTCTCAAGTGCTTAGACAAAAGCAGAAACTTTCTTCTCATGCCAGAAATATCCCTCAATGCTTTGTGAAATGCACTATCTAACATTAAGGTCCTTTCCTTCAATTTTTGTTAAAAGCTGGTTTTTATATTTTGCTTTGTTTGGTTGGTGTTAAAGAGCACCTCAACTCTTGCAGGCGGAGGTACAGTGATGGGCTAGGTGATGAATTGAAAAACCTGACTTTCACTGCAATTGCAAGAAGATGGATGACAGCAGGTCCAGCGTGCTGTGAGTTATAGACCGAGGCATCTGCTTAGTGTTTTCTACCACTTAGAGGTCCTTTCAAAGAGAAGGGACTTCACCCAGCAGTGAAGAGAGGAAATAAGAAAGATAGGGTGCTTCATGAGTAATCTGTACTCAAGCATCCAGTCTCTTTCTTCCCAAAGAACGACCTCTAAAACCCCATCTCAATCAGTTACTGTCTGTACAGTTCCACTATGGAAGGAGTGGAAATTAAATGAAGAAATTAAGACAACAGTGGATACAGCTAGTTCACAGTGTGGATGGAATGCAGTAGGGTTTGAGCAGCAGAGCAATTAGACTTCTAAGCTGGAGTGCAGAAGGTGCCTTAATGAACAAGGCATCCCATAAACACCATCACATAAGTAAAGATAAGCATGCAACTAAATGGTTAATCAAACAAATAAATTGTCCACTATGGAGCTCAGGTGTGCTATGGTTGTTATGAGTGAGAAGGGTTGGTTTCCAAGAGGCTCTTGATGAGAAATCCAGGGCTCGAGTCAAGTGAAGCTTCTCTTACTCTTTTCTTTGGGTAAAGTGCATAAGGGCATGAAGCTGAAGTTCTGTTTTAAGTGAACCTGAGCCACCCTTTGATAATGCATGTAGTTCTCCCTCTGCTCTCTGCCAACTGTTCCGGATGAATGCACCTGCTAGATAATTTGTTTTTATTACAATTATTATTGAATAGCAAATCATTGTTTTCCATTCATGTCAATAAAGTCAATTCTACCCATGCTGTGAATTTTC